AGTTACTTACGGGATGGGGAGCAGGTCTGGTTGGCTCAGGGGTGGATAGGAGGTAACAGGCGGGTAGGTAGTGGCCGGTGGCCAGGGGGCGAGCGTAGCTGAGGACACAGGACCAAGCTGAAGGAATGACTCCAAACATCATGCCCCTACCCTAGTCGAGGCCTCGAAGGGCAAATTAACCCCCCGAAATTCCTGTGCCCTGGACAGGTCTGAGAGCACCCATCTCCCTCTACATCCCAGCTCGGGTCAAGGCCATGTGGGCAGCCTCAGGAGGGAAACCTGAACAAAGGCACACACTTGCTCACATGCCAGGGGACTCTTCCCTACCCCAGAGGGAGGGGACCCTCCATGTACTTACGAGGCCGTTTGATTATGATGCTATGTGGGATCGAACTGGCAGAAGAGAGAGTTTGGTAAGGGGCTGGGAGAGGCCCCAGGCCCAGCACCGTATAAAGTATTAAGGGAGATGCATAGGCCAACAGGGCAGACTCACCTATCTGTGGCAGCACTGTCATATGAGTCTGCGGAAAAGAGGGCCAGTGAGGCAGGAAAAGGGGGTAACAAGAGGAGAGGGTGATGAAGTCTGGGGCTCTCAGCATCTTCTTACGCAAAACAGTTAGGGACAGTTCAAGATGGTGTAAGAGACTGGGGGCTGAGGTGAGGATCCCTGTCACTGTATCCGAGCATCTGGTCACCCCACTAGCTCCCACTTACCTGGCAGCTCTCGGCAATGCACACACAGTGCCATCAGTAACACGGCCAAAAGAGGCAGCAGCAGGAAGCCTAGCACCAAGGGGAGCAGGATGACCGCCTCCATCTGCAGGACAGAGCTTGGACCAGGCCTGGCTGCTCACTGCTCGCCCCTCCAGGGCAGAGCTGCAGCACAGCGAGTGCGGGGCCAGTGGGGTACAGGGGCCCAGCAGCACCAGGCTAGGAGCCTGATTGAGGGCAGCCCTCCCCTCACTGGGCTGAACAGGGGTTAACGCTGGCTCTGGAAGACCCTTGATCCCAAGGAAGTCGGGCCAGGGCCTGGGCTGGAGTGTGGGGCACCAGCCACCACTGCGTAGACCCTGTGCCAGGCCTACCTGCTCCTTGGCTCCACGCCCGCCTCTCCTCAGCGCCTGCCCTCCTGCCTGTGGCAGGAAGCTGTGGTGAGCGCCGGGGTGAGGGCAGGAAATCATCCGGCTCCTCAGCCGGCTGCACCCACCCCCTTCCCACCCCCACCCAGCAAGTAGGGAGGGGAAGGAGGCCTGTGGAGCCACCCTCAGGTCTTCAAGAAGGGTCTGTTGGCCTCCAGGACAAGGGGTAACGCCTATCGGCGGAAGGACAAAACACTTGCAGGCCAGCCAGCATATGTAGCCTCCACAGCTGTGGTGGCTCAACAAGGCAGCAAGGAGGGAGGCTGACCCCGGGAATTCAGAGGGGCACAGGCCGTGCCCACCCCTACCTCACCCTGGCCAGCCTGCCAAGAGGGGCGGCTCTAGGGGAAATAGGGGCATGACTCACAGTCACACAGAGCCAGCTCACTTCACCCTCTTGTTCACCCAGCCCAGAAGCCCCATAGGAGTGACCCGACAGGCCCCAGGAGCCCCGGTGCTGGAGCGGGGGCATCTCCCATAGTCCAGAGAGGCAGAGATAACGAGCACCAGAGAGACTCAAGCAGGCAGCTGAAATCCGGCTACAAATTTTATTTAGTTACAAATAGCACCGAGACCCTAGGGCTGCTCACGGACTCCTCCCAGACCCCTCCCAGACACCCACAGCCCCCTGCCACCACCCCGACCCCGGCTGCCCATGTAGTGTGTGGGAGCTGAAACATGGCCCAAGGCCCCTCCTAGAAGCTGGGCCAAGCCGAGGGTTTGGGCCTGGGCGCCTCATGGGGTGGGCCCAAGGCCAGCTGTGGCAGGTGTGCAGGTAGGTGAGTGACAGCCCCTCAGATGAGCACGCTGGACACGGGGACTCGGGTGGAGCGGCCTCTCTGGGGCACCACAATGCGGTCATCTTCAGGCCTTGCCTCATGCAGCAGACCTGGCAGGGGAGGAGTCAAAGCCAGGGTTGAATGAACAGACAGACACAAAGCCAGAGAGGGGACAAACAGGTAGTGGGAAATGGATGGGGCCCGAGAGCTGTGGACGGGCCAGGCCATCAGCTTGTTGGCTGGGAAGACCTGAAGCCGGATGAAGGAAGGGCTGTGGACTGGGTGATGCCAGGCACACAGGACTAGGCAGACGGATGAACGAATAAGCAGGCATCACGAAGCTGGGCAAGGAGCTGCGCGCAAACAGGGGGAGGCCCAACTGACCCTGCACGTGCAGCTGGGCCCGCCGGCGGTCACCCTCAATGAAGATGGCAGTGCCCAGGAAGGCTGCACCGCCCAGTGCCCCGACGAAGGCACAGAGCATGAGTGAGAACTGCAGTGCCCGGAACTCAGACAGGAAGGAGGGGGGCCAAGTCCGGCGGAGGCGGTCGGAGATCTGTGGGGAGACGCAGAAAGGAAAGGCAGGAGAGAGAGGCATGGAGTGGGCCCTGAGGAGAGGGAGGTCCAAACTCCACCAGACAAAGACTGCAGCCAGGAAGGGAAAAGGGTCTGGGCTTCCAGGGAGAGGCCCCCGGCCTCCCTATAGAAACCTGCGAAGACAAAATCCTGTCAAGCTGAGGGTCCAAGGTGAGGAGTGCCTGGCACAGATGACATGGACACCTAAGAGGGACCACACCTTCCAATTCAGCTCAGGCTCAGGCCACTCGCCACCAGCCAGTGCTAGGATCACAGGGTGTCCTAACCCCCACCGGAGGCCTAGAGAAAGGGCAGTGCTTACCAGGCCAATGAGGTAGGGGCTCCCAGCATCACCCAGCAGGTGGGACAGCACGATCTGGAAGGCCTCAGCAGTGGAGCGTCTCGTAGGGATTACCACATACTGGGAGGAAGAGGGGCGAGAGATAGCGGGCAAGGAAGGGACCAAGGCTCGGCCTAGGCTGAGGTCAAAGGTGAACTCCAGCTCAGAGGTGTGACTGGGGTGAAAGGTAAGGCAGGCCTGGCCTACAGGCCCTTCTGGGGCTGGACTCTGAAGTCAGTCTGGGGCTAGGTTTCGAAGAAGGGGTAAGGGCCACAATTCAAGGCAAGTGAGGCCTCCTGCCCCCACTCCCTGCTCCCATCAGCCTCTGGACCAACCCTGGAATGACCCACCTACTCACCAGCAGAATATCAGCCACAATGGCCCAGTTCATGGACAACAGTGTCTCGCCAATAAAGATGAAAATCTGGGGGACCAGAGGGTAGGGGAGCGTGGGAGTGGGGTTGAACTCATCACAAGAAGAGCAAATATGTGGAGGCCCATCTATTAACTAATTTAATCCTCACAATACTCCTATGAGACAGGAGCTATTGTTATTCCCATTTTACAGATGATGACACTGAGTACCGAGAGGTTAAATCACTTGCTCAATGCCACACAGCTGGGCAGGGCCAGAGCTGAGATTCAAAACCAGACACTCCTGCTCTGGAGTCGGCTCTGAACCCCTATGCTGGTTGTCCCCAGTCTTGCCCCAGTGCACCATTCCTCCGCCTTGAACCCAAAGCACCCCCGCCTCGATACCTGCTGGCTACTTACATAAGTGGCCACGATGCTACCGCGGGCACAGGCGAGAGACAGGAAGAGGAAGGGTGCGGAGCCCAGGAGGCCGGCAGCACAGACCAGCGGGTCGGCCCGGGGGTTGGAGCGGCGGAGGCGGCGGCTGAACTCCACGCCCAGGCCCACACCCAGGACCCCAGTCAGGCAGGTGATGAGCCCAAAGATGAGGCTGCGGACAGGCGGAGGGGCACAGGGGCTATTCCATCTGCCTGCAAAGCTCCCTAGCCTCACCTCTATGGCCTGGAGAGGAAGACCATCCATCCCAGCCACCCTCACAACCCAGGGCTATCCAGGCACAGCCCCCCACAGTCCAGGAAGCTCCCCACCTATTCCCCAGACCGGGAAACTGAGAGTCTGGGACACGAAGAAACTTGTGGAGTTGGGATTCAAACTCTCCTTGTCTGAGTCTGAATCCTACTCTTTCCACTCTATCATCTGCCAACTGCAGGCCACCCAGCCCAGCCTCCATCTGGGTACCTGTCAGAGGACGAGCAGGAGTCTCCAGGAAGGCAAGGTGGGGTCTCCCCCAAGACCACACGGGAACGCAGCAAGAATGCAGGAGCCCAGAGAGCCAGGGAGCCCGTGACAAAGGCCACAGCAGTGAAGCCAAGGGAAGACAGGATGAAACTAGGGCTGCACAGTTGGAATGGAGGAAATGTGATTCCACGGAGGTATCGGGTAAGGGACTCTGTTCTCCCTTCCTGGCTTATTTTAATAAGGTCAGGGCACTGGGCATGGAGGCTGTCTGGGCTACCAGGATCTGGGAGCAGCTGTCACAGGGGGCGGTCAGTGGAAACTGAATTCCTGATCATGGGGTAGGGCCAACTTGGGTTAGGATGGAATTAAACTCACTTTCTTGCCAGAGCTCTCAGATCTGCCCACCAGGAGGTGGGGTTCAGGGGTGGTGAGTCTGAGAGGCGCTCCACAGCTCCCCTTGGCGGCTCCCGTACTACCAGGAACAGCAGCAGGACAGCCACCACTCCTAGACCTGG